ACTTGAGCGGCGATGCTGGAGGGTGACAGCAGGGGCGCTGGATAAAAAGCGCAGGATCCGCTCAGGCGATCAAGGAGTGAGCTTGGTGCGGTCTGCTTGGACTTTTGGACGGCGGCTGCCTGAAGTTGTCGGAATTGCATCTCTGTCATTCTCACCCACAACGCAGGCCACCAGTGACAGTCCAGTAATAAGCTGTGAAAATGACATGCATGCACATCCATAGACATATATACATAGACGCCGCATCGAGCGCTGAGCCGTACATCAACGTCGCCGCCATATTGGATGTGGCAAGGCTGCGCTGTAAACTAATACAAGTGAATGGACTTAATTTCATAAAGCGCCTTTTTTCAAAGAAATTTACGTTAATGCCTCTCGTTTATTCATTCACACATGCACTAATATGCTTGGGAAACAGTTAGGCACCAAAAACAATGTATTTGATCTTCTCAGATGGCTAAGATACGAACTTTATTGATCCCACACAGCAGCAATGCACCTTACATCAGCCGAAAAACAATACACAGTAGCCTATACATACATGTATATATAGCCAGGAAGTTTCCACTCTGAGAGAGAGATTGGAAACACAGGCAAGCGTGATCGAAGACCAGGGAACTGCTGCGGCTCTGGATCACCGGATGATGGACTTGGAGAGGTGCCATTGATTGCCATGGATCGCCCGGCCGGGCCCGTCGGGCTGGTGCTGGTGGTCGGGATCGCAGGAGAGGGAAGCGCCGGGGTCGGCGGAGCCTACTCGGCAGTCACTGGGGTGACGGCGTGCCCCCAACTCCTCTCCCCAGCATGGAGTACCGTTCTGAAGGAAGGGAAGCGCAATCCTCAGAAGCCCCAAAAGTTTAATTGTGTAGGATATCTGAGTCACCAAACAGCTTAATTTCAGCGCTTGCAAATCCTGCCATGAGTACGGTTAGGTTCACCTCAAGGCTTTGGAACCATTGGCGTTTTAGATTATATGCAAATATTTGCTATTTTTGTATCTGTCTGTCCTTTTACTGTGTCTTGTGTTTTTATTGTAGGCCTACTGTACTATACACACAAACACACACACACACACACACACACACACACACATATATATATATATATATATATATGTACTGCGCATTGTTTTTCAGCACTACCTTGTTCTCAGCGTGTGCTGATGTAAGGTGCATTGCTCCTGTGTGGGATCAATAAAGTTCGTATCTTAGCCATCTGAGAAGATCAAATACATTGTTTTTGGTGCCTAACTGTTTCCCAAGCATATTAGTGCATGTGTGAATGAATAAACGAGAGGCATTAACGTAAATTTCTTTGTAGAAAGTAGTGATAGGCAAATGAAGCTTCATGAAGCATTGAAGCTTTTCATCAAATTGGTTCACTCAAGGGCAAAGCTTCTTGATGCTTCATTTGCTCTACTAAGCCATCTACTGGACAAAAAAGCTATTACAATTAGGCTAGTAGTTTGTATATATACTTTTTAAACTGAATAAATCTACTTTCCATTATAGTAACAGTAAAGATATGATGCACCTATATTAATATAGTATTTTTAAAGATATATTTTTTGGGGGGAGAGAGAGAGAAGGGGGGATGACATGCAGCAAAGGGCCTCAGGCTGGATTCGAACCTGGGCCGCTGCAGCAACAGCCTTGTACATGGGACACCTGCTCTACCACTAAGCCACCAACACCCCAATATAGTGTGTATTTTTTACACACTATATTATTTTTGTATTATTGTATTTTGTAGATTTAAACCTTAACTTTTTGAAATGACAATGGTCTCACTCTCCAAACTATCCAAACTCTCAACTGTCAAAAACTCTCCTCTATCACAACCACACATTTTGAATGAAACCTATGGGGTTTGTTGGCTGTCAAATACTCGCACCAAGATCTGAACAACTTCCCGAACCAGTCACGTGATACAGCCGGCCAGCAAGGCTTCGGACGTCACCAATGACGTCACTCGTCTGAAATGAAACAAGCCTCGATACGCGCATCGCGGAAACACTTCCTGGATTACTCGACACACGCTTCGAAGCCTCGGTACGGCAAGTCACATCACTAGTAGAAAGGCGCTTTATGAAATTAAGTCCATTCGCTTCTATTAGTTTACAGCGCAGCCTTGCCACATCCAATATGGCGGCGACGTTGACGTATCGCAGCAGCGGGCAAACCCATAGATATATGTACATAGGGTGCGTCCCAAGTCTCAAGTCCCAAGTATTTTATACTGCTAACTCCTAACTCCTTACTTTAACCGGAAGTCGTTCAAGGTCCGCCATCTTTAAGGCCGTCTCATGTCTCTTATTCCTGCCAGTAAGAAGTTAGCGTTAGGCGTTAGGAGGGATCTGTTAGGTGCGAAGAGTAAGGTAACACGAGAGGTTAGGGTTAACCCTAACCCTAACCCTAACCCAATCTAAATCTAAATGTTAAATCTAAATGCTAAATATAAATCTAAATGCTAAATATAAATATAAATGTTAAATCTAAATGCTAAATATAAATATAAATGTTAATATTTAGATTTAACATTTATATTTATATTTAGCAATTAGATTTAACATTTAGATTTAGATTTATATTTAGCAATTAGATTTAACATTTATATTTATATTTATATTTAGATTTAGATTTAATATTTAGATTTAGCATTTAGATTTAGATTTAACATTTAGATTTAGATTTAGCATTTAGGTGCCACATTTAATATTTAGATTTAACTATTTAATATATTTCTAAGTTAACAAATATTGCTGTAAATGTAGTAAAAGGTGACGTTAAAAAAATTCACAACACTTTTTTAAACATTGTTTGAAGCTAAATGTGGCAAAATGTTGATGTTATTTTCAGCGTGAGACACTTTACAAACGGCACCCCATAACTGTCATTACCGTCTGTCCTGCATCTCTCTCTGTCTCTCTCTCTCTCTGTCTGTCTCTCTGTCTCTCTCTCTCTTTCTCTCTCTCTCTGTCTCTCTGTCTCTCTCTCTCTTTCTCTCTCTCTCTCTCTCTCTCTCTCTGTCTCTTTGTGTCATACGGATTACTGTTTTACTGTTAATTATAATGTTGATCTGCTCTGTACGACATCTATTGCACGTCTGTCCGTCCTGGAAGAGGGATCCCTCCTCAGTTGCTCTTCCTGAGGTTTCTACCGTTTTTCCCCGTTAAAGGGTTTTTTTGCGGAGTTTTTCCTGATCAGCTGTGAGGGTCATAAGGACAGAGAGATGTCGTATGCTGTAAAGCCCTGTGAGGCAAATTATGATTTGTGATATTGGGTTTTATAAATAAAATTGAATTGACTGAGGCAGACTGACAGGTCTGATATGCCTTATTCACTCAGCAGCTGACTTGTTGAATGATGGCGAGTGGATTTAATAATAGTGATAATGATGATGATAATAATAATGATAATGATGCTCATCACAGTGACAGTGGCAGGGCTACAGACCGTTCTTTAATTGCCACAAACTTCAGCAAATGACTCAATAACAGTGGTAATGGGGGGGGTTACGGCTTTGATCAGCGAATATAATGGGACTTGGGATGTAAGCCAAATGCTGGCTCCGTTATGCAGCAGATCCAGCTGTGCCGCCGTCATCAGGACAGGACGTCGCTTCACGTGACGCTTCAGAGTAAGGCCGTCTCATGTCTCTTATCAGCAATCCTCACTCCTCACTCCTAACTCCTGACTCCTTAAATGTTTTCCTAAGTGGGAGGATTAAACAGTTAGGTTAGGTGGCTAGGTTAGGTGGTTAGCAGTAATTTTAAGAGACTTGGGACGCACCCATAGATGCCGCACCCTGGCTTGTGGGATGCGTCAGTACCGCCGCCATCTTGCCTAGGTGCTCTGACCGGTGCAGACCCATGTCAGACTCGGCAAAAATGCCACATTTTTGCTCTGCATTTGGGTGTACGAACGAAAGAAGTGTTAAAACCAAGCAGAAGGGAATAATAATATTGTTTTACAATATTTTACTGTTAAGAACATGTTTAATAAGATATATATCTCAAAAAGTGATCCTTCTTTTAAGCTAATCAAGTAAAGTAACTGTCCTGACCTGGTCCTAATGCCAAATTAAGTTAACGCTATGTCACACAACTTAAAGAAAAAAGGTTAACATTTATATAATATTACTTATAAAATTATGATGTTTTGTCAAACAGCTATGTCGGTGTATGTGTTATTCCAAATTGTCAACTATCTGTTTCATGGCACCAACGTGACATAACGCAGTATAACGTTAGTAGTTAACTTGTGGCCTGAATTGTAACTACAAATTATGTGGAACTGCGTTTTTCTGACACACTTATTTTGTGTGTATTTTCCCAATAAACACAGATAGGAGACGGGCATGGGTAGCAGCAGTGAGGAGAGAGGACTTTGTCCCGAGTGACTCGTCAGTCATCTGCAGCTGTCACTTCAGACCTGAAGTGTCACGACAGGACTGGGCAGACTCCTAAAAATAATACTAGCTACTGTACACTGTATTTTTTGTAAATATGACCTAATAATGTAAACAGTTCTGTGTCCAGGCTCCCATGAGCACTGTGGTGTTATACATATGAGATTAAAGCAAAACTTTTGTGTAAACATGCAGCTCTAAGTCATTTATTTTCACTTGTACAAAACCAACATTTGTTAATCAGAATCTACACTGCAGCTCGGCACAACCCTGCTGATACACTATTTTTTGCACATTGTGTGAAATGTGAATAAACATTTATAGGCAAAATTAATAATTAAATGACATCGTGGTGGGCATTGTACATCTAGTAAGAAAAAAGAATATCTATTACATGGGGGAAGTTTAGTTTAAATGTGTTGTAGAACTATTACTGTTACTTTATCTACATAAGATCAAATATTTTGGTATGAAAAGCTGCATTTTTTATTTAACCAAGTATCCTATATCATAACTACATGTCTGACGATTGTAACAAACCAAACCGCATGAAAATCGGTTGAGAATTCAGCGAGTAATGATGATTTTAATCATAAATAATCTCCTGCCTCAATAGACATAAATGCATTAGGCAGCGCGGCTCCACCTGGGCAAGATGGCGGCCGCGTTGACGTATCGCTCCAGTGAGGAGCACCGTTGAATGCGGCATCTACGTATATATATCGATGGGGCAAACCCACTTGATGCGGCGTCTACGTATATATGTATATGTGCACATCCCCTTCATTTCGCGGTCTCACGCCATCTACTGAGCTTTTGAGGAAGTGCAGACCAGATTTTACTGCGCATGTGCAATCCCCCATGTTTGACCCCGCGTGTCAGCCTTCTCTTGAATAGCCTTGCATCCTGCCCGGAAGTACATTAAAGTGACCTCTTTAAATATTACAGCTTCAACATCAGGTAATCATCAGCACCCCAAAAGGTGGCATCCTGTCTGTGTTCCCTCTCACCCTGTATATGGTGGTTATTATGGGAGCAATTCCTGGCAGGTTAATGAACATCTCTGAACAATGTCTCAACAAATATTGAGGGCGCTGCAGCAGCCGCTCACATCCGAGTTATTATTCAGTGGATGTTGATGTGCACCTGCCAGACTGCTGCCAGTCTCTGCCACGACGGCGGCGAGACGGAGACACACCGATATCAAGTTTTAGATTTAATCTTCTGATTCGTCTCGTAGAAACCCACGGATATTGTAAGATGTCCGTTTTCCACGGTGAAGCCGGTCACTTCATGTATTTCGCCTTTGGCAGTAACTTGTTGAAGGAGAGACTTCAGCTGGCAAACCCCTCTGCTGTGTTCTGCACCACCGGCAGACTGAAGGTAACCATCATTTTATTATGTCTTCATGTCAGGTGGTGACGAGCTGTGTGTATATGTGCTCACATTAGTCAGCTTATTGCCTCTGAATGTACCATAGTGTCTCTGTGGTGTTTCATGCACTGCTCAGTTTAGGCTGTTACGCTGCCTCAACATGTCTCCTGTCAGACTAGTGCAAAGGAAATGTCCAAAATACATAATATTTATTTTAGTTCAGGTTTCTGATCTGGAAGTGTAAGCAAAAAAAAAACAAAACAAAAATCATAGTTATTTAGATCATGACTCATCAGCATATTTAAACATAAGTAATAAACAGGGGAGGTTCAATGGTGATATTTTTTTGTATGAAGTTTTACCTCATTCACCTGTGGAGTCTTATTTTTGTCTAAAAATGTATGGAATTTTACAGCACATATTTTTAAAGGCCACTTTCTCAAAATTTCATTACCTTTTTTTCAGTAAATCTAACGTCCAACAAACTGCCCAGTTTTATTCCTATCTATATTCTGAAAGTGTTTACAGAGGGACTCGCTTGTGTACCATTAATAGCCTAATTTATATACAATTTTATTCCTAAATACATGGTGAAAATTGATTTATTTTTTTTTAATTTATTAATGCAGTGATGACAAGAGATCAAAAAAAAAATCCCCTCTGTAAAAACCTTTGACTCAAATCTTGTCTTGCTGTTATGTATTGCATGTGTTTTACTGTGTTACATAGTTTATTTTATTCTTTAAAGTATAATTGAATTTTTTCTGTTTGTGCCGTCTTGACCAGGACTTTGTGAAAGAGGAGATGTTGTATTTCAATGGGACCTTCCTGTGTATCCCTAATGAGATCAATCATATTATCCCTGCACGATTTAATCTGTAGCATTTCATTTACCTCTCGTACCTCTTTGTATCTCCACCATTATCTTCTCTGATTAAGGACCTCTTAAAAGTCCTCTCTGCCCCAAACAGTTTTTCCCCTTAGGAGTTCTTTTATGGTCTAAGATGTTCTCTGAATAACTTTAATCTTTACAAGGACCTAGTCTTAACTTAAAGGAGAAATTCTAAGAAAAGGTCACAATTCCAGGAATTTTCTTACAATTTTGTCACTGGGAGCAACTCTTAGTGCTCAGAAGCTTTGTGAATACGGCCCCTGATTATGTTTTCCAGGTAGAGCTGGGTGATATAGAGAAAATCAAATATCACAGTATTTTTTACCAGATACTTAGATATCGATATCATGATTATACTGTAGGGTGAACTATTGGTGCTTTTACAAAATATGTAATAGGGGTAAGCCAGCACACCATTATCTGTATCTTTGTCTGTACTTGTAATAGGTGGGGTTTAAATTAGATGTGGGCAGAGCCAAACCAGAAACTGTTATTTAAACCTTAAATTGATATGAGTTGATTAAGTTGCTATATTTACTATTATTAAAAAACTATTAACAGAACAGCCTCAGAATTGAGCTTCAGATCACAAGAGTAAGAGACTGAACACAGCTACCCAAATGATGATTTTCCTTCATCGCAATTATGGATCTTGCCATTTTACTTGGATGAGGCTAACTTGTGACAAAAACAATGACTGGTCTCACCTCTAGTAAGGGCAAATAACACCATATGTTGATATATTGCCTCCATTATTTTTTTTTCAAGTTAGCCCACCTACATGGTTACTAGAAGCAGCTGAATCAACAGGGCCTGAGCGTGCTGTGGCCGTCATGTTGTGACGACCAGCAGCAAACAGGCTCACAGGGGACGCTGCTGAAAACACAAACATAGCGTCCCTCTTTACATCACAGTGAAATAAAAGGCATTTTGTCTAAAATGCACAATGCCTCATCACTGTTCACAGCCTTTTGTCCTCTACCTCCTACCCCCCCCCCCCATCACCACCCCCTGTTTGTGTGTGCAGGACTATAAGTTGAACTTTGGCCTGTGGGAGAAACATGTGGACAACATTTGGCATGGTGGAGTGGCCACCATCGAGTCCTGTCCAGGGGCAGAAGTGTGGGGGGTAATCTGGACTTTGAGCAACGACAACCTCCCGAGCCTCGACAAGTGAGACACATTAATACACACCCGTGTACAAGTTAATGTTTGTCACTGAAACCAACCGCAGCGTGGTTCTTCTCTTTGTGTCCTCAGCCAGGAAGGGGTGAATCTGGGGAAGTACTCTCCATTGGAGGTTTCAGTGGAGACTGACAAAGGACTCGTACTCTGCAGGTCTTACCAGATGAACAATTTCCACGCCTGCCTCCCCTCTCCTCAGTACAAACAGGTGTGTGCAAGTAAACACAAATATATGGTTCAGAAACATTCACACTACAGAGCTATTAAATCTTACAACATGCCATAAATGACACCGTCCAGCTGACTTGTCCCTGACTGATCTCTCTGTGTTTCATATAAGGTGGTGTGTCTGGGTGCAGAGCAGAACGGACTCCCGGCGGAGTACTTGAGGAGGCTGGAGGCAATCCAAACCAACAACTACAGTGGCCCCTCGATCCTTGATCAAATCAGAACAGTCATGAAGTAGAGTCAAAGTTCACATTCTTGACTTTGGAAACAGCAGCCAACAACTACAATTACTGCTTTCCAGTTGTTTGCTCCGCAAACCAGCCAAATTGTACCTACAGTTTACATACATGTATGTAAAAACATAGATGGCTCACACACATCTTCAACCAGGTAGCACAGAAGATCTATACAGTCGGCACAGATTCAAGGTGGACACCCAAGATTAAAGTCACCGCATCTGACCAAATGTTTCCTTGATGGCGCTGAGAAGTGTTTTATGCAGAATGTTATGATGTCACAGTGAAGCTGACCTTTGACCTTTTGGACATAAAATATCATGACTTCATTATTTTATCCTATCAGACATTTGTGTGAAATTATGTCATAATTAGCGAATGAATTCTTGAGTTATGACCTAAATCATATATTGTGAGGTCACACTGACCTTGACCTTCGACCACAAAATTCTCATCAGTTTACTCTTCATCCAAGTTGACGTAGTGTCAAATTTAAAGAAATTTCCTTCAGATGTTCTTGACATATTGAGTTTACGAGAATGAGACAGATTCAAAATCACACTGACCTTTGATCACCAAAGTCCAGTCAGTTCATTGCTGAGCCCAAGTGAACGTTTGTGCCAAATTTCAAGAAATTCCCTCAAGACGTTCTTGAGATATTGCTTTCACAAGAATGGGATGGATGGACGGACAACATGACATCATAATGCCTCAGGCCACAGCAATCGCTGATGTGGAGGCATAAAACCAACCTCATTGCAAGGTCCAATTATTAGCTATAATTCTGAGAACACAAAGAGCAGAGTAGAAAACAAAACAGAGTGCAGGATAGCTATTTGAGGGAAACTTGTGTGTTTTTGACCCTGGATCTTATTTTACCATGTTTATGTGTCTAAGTGACTAATGGAGACAACAGTCTTTAAAACTGGTCCAGTACTGAGCACTGGTGAGGCAGGCTTCAATGTAATACCTATGGGAAACTGTGCACTGTCACTTTAAGTCCGTTAAAAGTGCTTGTTTTTGCCACTGACAGGCTCAGATTTTTATTAAAGTGTCTGACAACATTATGGAAAGGATCCTACATAAAAGTGAAACAAGTTTTGTTTTTTTGTTTTTTTTAACTTTTGCTGATCTGGCCTATTTGTCACGCTCAAAGAGAGACCCTGTCTCACCATGAAACTTCACAAACTGTCTCTTTAGGGTCCTCTCTATAATGTTGTAAACACTTCTAGTAACAATCTGAGCCTTTTGATGGACGTAATGCAGATATTTTGACAAGTCATAGTAGGAAAACCACAGGTGTATTTACAAGTCAAACTGTCTGCTGTGAAAAAGGACATTTCCTGTAGGGTTTACATTAGATTTTTTTTTTGTTACTTTTTTTTCTGAGATCTACACCTTCTGATTTAGTTAAGCAAAGCGTCTAAAGACTGACTTGTGATTCTAATTAGATCCTGTTGCGCTGCTTTGGCTGTTCCCATTATTGACTTTTGATATAAAACCATGGGAAAATAGGGCCCGGGTTTAAAAATACCTTTGTATCTCTTGAAGTTTATTAATTCACTTACAGTTTCTGGAGCTTTCCACCTCATCTCACAGCCTTCATTATTACAGTAATGTAAGTAGTAATAGTATAATGATACTTATTAAATCATAATGTGTCATGTAATGGTGATGAAGACTGTGAGATTCAGTCTTCTGAGCTCGTAACTGGACCTTGAGTTGAGTTTCTCTTTGTCAAACAGCTACCAGTATTTCTAAATTCAAAGCTTTTAAGACCCAGTTATGAAATTGAACTGACTCCATCGTGTGGCCAGAAGTTGGTACTGCATGCACTTCATGAGACATTTGTCTGGGCCCAACACATGCCCTCTCATCTTGAGCTTGTGAGCTGCTAGGGGACTATTATTTTATTTTAGAGCCACCACAATGGAAGACTGAATTGTATGTGAAGAGCAGAACATTGTTTGATTTCAGTTTTTCTCAGGGGAATATTAAACATTGATGAAAGAAGACTTCACTCTCGTCAGCATTTATTCTGACTTTAACCAATGTGTTCTGTTCCTGCTGATAAACCAATAATCATACTTGGGGTACTTTAACAAAGATTTTAAATTATAGGTTTTATTAAGAAATAAAAATAAAAATCGCTGATCATTTACGTAAAAGGAAACCACTTTATTTGTTACAACACAGTGGCCTTGGACAGAATGATAATTAGTACCTCTCCCAACATTTGATCCTCTAGGAATTATAGAAAATACAAGTGTAGTACAAAAAAAACAGATATATGGTGAACACCCAATAACTTGTTTTATATTTTGTCAAATCTCTAGGTAAATGTCCAAAAGTCTATGCAAATATGTAGACTTCACAATGGCACAAATCATAATTTCATCTGACGTCAAAACAAAGGCTCATGCAAGTATGGTCGGAGATGTATGAAAACCAAGAGTCCATTGAGAATTCAGCAACCTTACAACTCAAACATTTGTACATTCTTAAGAATTTGGCTTGAAGCGGAAAGATGTACGTTAACCTTCTGCAGGAGTTGATGAGCATTAAAACATTTTACCGTTAACCGATTTAAATGTAGGGAGGGGAGGAGTGGTGTGAACAATCTGAAAGGTAGAAAAAAACAAAGCAAAATAACAAAGCTGTGAACATGACACAAATAGGTCCAAATATGTAAAAAACAAATCAATTTACAAAAAGGAAAGTATAATATAATGATAATCTAAGTGTAAGTTAAAGCGTGTACTTAAGTCTTGATATAAGCAAACAAGAAAAGATGTAGGAATCCCAATTTTGTACAAATGGGCTTAAATAAAGGGTGCAAAAAAGAAAATCAGCTACCAGGAGCAAATCAGTGCTTGAGTTGAAGTCAGTAGCCATTGTTGAATGAGAGATTGTAACCAGCAGCTCAACGGTTTGACACCATCATATCTAAAAGACGACACATCTGTTTTCTTTTATTATCATTTTCTCTGTGTTTATATGGAAATTTGGATATGGACCACTGACAACATACTGGAGTCAAACAAAGCACTATTGATGTGGGCTACTTTAAGAGACTGCCCTCACTTACAAGTAACTTGTATATTAGGTAATACATTGTATGCACTGCAGGATGAGCTCCTCTAGTGACTATCAACACAAAAGGCCATCAGTAGAGTATCTTGGTTTTCAATCAGGGACATCTGCGATTGCATTATTTGCTTTTTAACTTTCCATCTGCTCCACCTGTTCCCCATCGGCAACTTTCTCATTTCCACTTTCATCCATCGGTTCTGGTCCGTCCTCACCATTTTCCATCTGCTCTGTTGCATCAGCACGCGGGTGCTCTGATGAATTGGGGGGTGGCTGTTTTATTGGATCAGAGGGTGGCTGCTCCGTGATATCGTCAGCCAGCTCTTCTGAGGTATCATCGGATGACTGCTCTGTGGGATCGGCAGGTGGCTCCTGTTCAGGGATTATGAGATTGTGCTTGACTTTGCTCAGTTCTGTCATGTTGAAGCCGAGGAGAATAGCAGCTGTGTTCTTTTTGAGACTCTTCATGCACTTGCTGCGCTTCTTGCTGAAGTGGGCCGCCAACTCCGCTTTGGTGAGAGACAGCCTCTTGCACAGCTCTTCAGTCTCGGGTTTGGTCGCGTAAGGGTTCAGGTTGAAGTATTTAGATATGAAGTCTCTGCGCTCCTCGCTGTTGCGGCGCTCTGCGGAGGTTGGCTCCAACATCAGCTTCACTGTGGGATCGAGCTGAACCACAGGCTCTGGTGGGGGCACCAACTTCTCCTGCTCTCGCTTCTTGCGCATGGCTGCCCTTTGTTCTCGCTCTCGTTTGTTGGCCTCCATCACCTCCCTCCATGCTGCCTCCAGCCTCTTCTTAGACTGCAGCTCTGCTTCTGTCTCTGGAGTCTCTACACGGGGTGGTGGAGCTGCAATCAAACGAGCCGGAGCTAAAGTTTGTTTCATAGTCAGCCCTTGCGGCATTTGGAGAAAGTAGAGTGGCTGACTGATCTGCTGAGCTGGTTTTGGTGGCTGCAGTGGTGCTGGTGGTGGTGGTGGTGGTGGTGGTGGTGGTGGTGCTGTAGGTTTAGGTGGCTGTGGCTGTTTTGGTGAACACCGGCATCGCTGAATGTGGAGCATCACAGCCTGCTGGGTGACCTTTCCTGTGTACACACCATTGCAGTATATGCACTTAAAGGCCTCTGTCTTGAGGATAGCATGAATGGTGGGTGCTACAAAGTGTTTTTGCTTCAGGTGCTGAAGGTGTTTGGATTCATTCTGAAACTTTTCGTCACAGAAGGGACAGTATGAGCTGTTGATTTTCACAGGTGCTGCACAGATTTCTGGCTGGCTGCTCGGCTGCAACTTGAAGAAGATCAGGTCAAGGGAGTTTGTGACTAGGGCCAGGTTGACCTCGGTGTCTCCTAGGACCTCTTTTGGTGCGGTGGTGTGGACATCAAAGTAAGGGAACAGGATTCCTCCAACCCCTTTGGAGTAGACCCTGTACTTCTGCCTCAGGAAATCACAATACGCCTTGCTTGCGGGATTGTGCTGCTTTACATGCTCAGCAAGCTGCTTGATTGAAAAGAACAAAGCTGAGCAGTACAAACAACTCAGGCCGTGCAGCAGATGTTGGAAGACACTTTTTTCTGATAGTAGAATTTTGCACGTTAGGCATTTAACAGTTTTGTCCGGCATTTTCTTCAAGAATGCTGCTCGCGCCGCCACACTTTCTGACTTGTTTGTGGTGGATTTTGCCTGGTGAGCGACCTCTGTATGCATGTCGAAGACGTTAGAGGGGAAAAGTTCATTGCAGAGAGGACAGGTAATCCATTTCTTAGTTTGTGGTGTGGAGTTCCTTGTTTGCTCAACAGACTTGAGAGGGGTACTTGTGCTCTGAGAGACGGGCATTGCTACTTGCAGTGGAGCAAAAGTGTATGTGGGCATGCCATTCATCTTGTTGCCAGTCGGGATTAGGTGACTCAGCAGGGACTGTGACGTCAGCATGGTACCTTGTAGGGCCGTATGGTTCGTTGGTGCATTTTGTGTGACCACAGCAGGCTGGGATACAGCTCCAGTTCCAGGTCCAGCTGCAACATTGGCCTGCAGTCCTGATGGAAGGAGGATTTGCTGCGTCGGAGTAAGTTGTGTCGGTTGTGGTTGAGTAGAAGCTAGAGCCACAGGTGCCTGTTTCAGAGACACGTTAGACACTGTGGGAAGCTGGACCATAGATGAGCCTTGGGGCAAAGCACTTCGGAGGGCGATCGTGGCACCGGGCTGGAGCAAACCTTTAGCTTCAGCACTAGCTAGCTGCACTAGCGCTGATGCTTGAGGGGGCAGAAAAGCTTGGTTGGTTCCAGGGGCACAAATCAGAGTAGCAGTACTGTTTGTAGTTCCTTGTAATTGTTGTAACGCCACCACAGTCCCAGCAGGTTGGCCATTACTTGGTAAAACCAAGGACTTACTGTTGAACACTTGAGGTTGCTGTGGTTTAGGAGCAATACTTGGGAATGTCACAAACACGCCATTCCCATTCGGTGTTGCTCTAATGGTATAGTTCTTGTTCTCATAAATCAAACTTTGCACTTGTGTGCTGACTGAATAGTGTGAGGGCTCAACCAGCATGTGATGCAACATTTGGTCTAGATTTCCAGTGTTCACCTTGCACACCTTGCAGCAATACACCCTGACAGTGGTATTCCCTTGAAGGTGTGATCTGTAACCGATATACTGTTCAGCCAAACCGGCTAGGTGCTTGAGAATGATGTGCTTCTTCATCGTAAAGATAGAGGAGGCTGGATATCCACATCTTCTACACTGATACCGCTCATTTCCACGATGGGTGGGCTGAGACACTTCCCTCTGTGGCTGTATAAAGGAGGCATGGAAGAACATCATGTGCTTCTTGAGATACTTCGGGTGTCCGATGAAGAGGCACTGAGAGCAGGGCGCCAGCGCACAGAATGACTGCACATATCCATGGCAGCGGGAGACGTGGCTCCTGAAGTTGTAGATGTTTTGCGAAGAGTACTTGCACAGGCTACAGCACAGCGACCGAGACCGGTAAGGCCACTGAAGAGGAAGAAAAATAAAGATTAAAATTTGGGCCCAGTGTGTACTACGTATATAACATCCATACTACTTATTCATATATCTTAAAGAAGTAGTTCACTGGTGGAATGATGGGTCTTTTCATAAAACGGGGCTGTCTCTACTGGAGAAAAATGCAATTACTTTTAAATTAGTGCTACATGACCAGAGAAAACAGAAAGCGCTGTGGAATTCGCTTTTGCTCAAGAGGTAGAAAAACAACTACAAGAATGCACTGTGCTGCAGTGGACCAGTAAAAACTCCCACTGGTGGGGCGTCGGTGGCTTAGTGGTGGAGCAGGCGCCCCATGTACAAGGCTGTTGCCGCAGTGGCCCGGGTTCGGCTCCAGCCTGTGGCCCTTTGCTGCATGTCACTCTCTCTCTCTCTCTCTCTCTCTCCCCCCTTCGCGCTCATCTATCCTATCGATTAAAGGCTTTAAAATGCCCGAAAAAATATCTTAAAAAAAAAACAAAAAAAAAAAAAACAAAACCTCCCACTGGTGAGTGAGTTGTGTTTTGACAATATGGCGGCAGACTGCTAACAAATGTATTGCCTAACAGTTTAACAGTAAAGTAAAATATGTTTCCGAAAACATATTAGGCGAGAAATAGGCACTGCAGTAAAAGAATCTTGGTTCATATCTGATCAGCACTGCTTAGTTTTAGTTTCATCTGAGTTTTACAAGCCTCCATTTTGCCCACTTCCTGTTCACAAACTCTGGTATTACAGCCAAACAGTGCACTAAGACATGCTTCTGAGTCAGCTATTTTTTTGTGGGGGGGGGGGATCTCTCTCTTTTTCTCTCTCCCTCTCTCTCTCTCTCCCTCTCTCCCTCTCTCCCTCTCTCCGTCTCTCCCTCTCTCTCTCAGTCCACTTCTGTACTCTGTGTTTGTGGTAGAGCTGCAATAATTAATCACCAACTAATTTCAAAACTGATTAATCAGGTTCAGTAATTATTTAAAGGAAAAAAAAGTCAAAATTCTCTGATTCCACCATCTCACATGTGAATATTTTATGTTTTCTCTACCGCTCTATGACAGTAAACTGGGTATCTTAGGGTTGTGGACTATACAAGACATTTGAGGACTTCATCCATTTTCTGACTTTTTCTGACATTTTTAACTAACTAATTCATTAATTGATAAAATCATCAACAAATGAATCAACAATGAAAATTATCATTAGCTGAAGCCTCATCCGTAGTGGCAGGCAAACACAAATGTGCGAGCACAGTGTGTAGTTTGAGCAAAGGCCCTAGAGTCATTTCAAATCTGCCAGATGATGTGAAATGTAGGGACAGGGAGATCTGGGCGCTGGCAAGATGGAGAGAAGTTCACCACATTTCATTTACACTGTTATGACACAAAGCTAAATGAAAATCGGCAAAATCCCTTACAGCAGCATGGAATGACTATTCTCCTCTTTAATAATCCAGCGACAGGTCAGCAACAGTTTTAATCATCTAACAAATAAATCAGTAAATAATCATCCAGATGTGTCACATTCACCTTTTTCTGAAGCCTGCCGTTGAATCCATCTGTGAAATCAAACCACTCCGTTTCCTGAAAGGCCTCATCTTCATCTGTGTTTTTCTCAGTGTTTTCATGGAGCTCCTGAACAGTAAACAACACACAAACAAACAAATCTTAACAGAGCCACAATGTAAAACATGTCAATTAAAAGTCATACAGTCAAAGCTGTTTCAAAGTAAGTAAGGCCATTCTGCCTACAGCTTCAACAACAGTAAGGCATCACACTGTGTGAATTAATCATATGTGGAATCGCCAGTTTATAATGTGTACCTAATAGCTAAAACTAATGCAGTATAATTAAAAAGCCCTGCAATAAATCCAACCTTTATGAAGGTTATAATGTTCAGTTTTTGTTGTTTTACATTGGTGTTGATTCAACAGTCTGTGTTGGACTGTGCTGAGAGATGTTTCTAATATTTAATCCACCCCATTTATAGCAATGAGGGTAATGTACAAATTAAAAGAACCTTTCTGTGTAATGCAGCACCACCTTTAATTTGAATCAATACATCTCTAAAACAGCTTTAACAAAATCTAAATGACGGCTGGATTAATTTTATCAGACTGTTAGCTTTAGGTGAATATACCTAATAAACTGACAACTGAGTACATTTTTCACATAAAATATTTTAATCTGAAAAGTTACTAGCAACTACAGCCAACAGATAAATATGGTGGAGTGAAAGGTGACATGCTTCCCTCTGAAAATTTTAAGTGCAAACTCACAAAAAAACCCCCACAAAAAAACAAAACAGAACCTCAAAGCAGTACGTCATTAATTTTCACCTCTGTGTTAAACCTCTGCACTTGTACATGCAGTGTAATTAGGAAATAGCTGACACATATATGTCGACTGCATCATCTTTCACAATTTGACTTCTACATAATGCCTCAAGCTGCCACTGTCATGTGTACAATCTCTGCTGTCTGGGAAAAAATCCTGCAAATCCAGCACAGCCAGAAAGCAGCCCTGCTCATTGATTTGCAACAATATCCACATTAGCTTAATGCCACCGAAAATCTCTGACACTTAACATGACATCATAGCGCCCAACCCTACTTGTTGCCATAACAACCATAGACCAAAAACCCTCTGAATGGTGCTCTTTCAATGTGTCCATAACCATCACATTAAAATCTGATTTTAATGTGCAAATGTGGCTGTATTCAAATGTTTATACCCCAATTAAAAAAAACATTTTTCACCATTAAGTGAATTATTATATTAATTTTAAACTGTGAGGCTGCACACTGTTTAGTGCTGATTGCATTAATGGCTGACATTACACATCAACACAGTGTTGAAACATGACTGATATCACCAGATAACATATTGGTACTGCCATATGAAACACAACATTTGTTTCTTCAGTAATAGTAAAAGACCATTATAAACCATTATATCAAAGCAAACCTATCTTACATGAAGTGTTAATTACAGTTATATACTAGCTCTAGATCAGAGCCTAATCCTAAAAGGCATCTTCAACTGTTTTGCAAGATAAAACATACCTTCAACAGGTTCTGGCAGTCTTCCAGACCAATCTCTCCCAGGATGTTTTTCACTGCCTTGCGAGCCTTTCTGATCTTCTCAATATTTCCAACTGGAACCTGATACATTATTCCTCAAAGCCTTGTGGGAGAAAAAAAGCTTTAATTTTAGGGAGCGTTAACACCACTGAAATAGAACGACATTAATCCATCTATGATTTACACACATAATTATTCTAAAAACATGAGAAATATTGTTGAACTAAATAATCCCTAAATAAACACAACATTTCCCAGCCATAGCCTCTAAAGTAAACACTATTTGATAGGGATACTTTAATTTCCACTTTATCCTGCAGCCCTAGGTACAATTTGGTGCACAGGAAATGTATGAAAAAGAGAAGCAAAAAGAAATTGGCACACATTGGGAAGAATGGCAAAAGCAAAAGCAATCAATTCAATTTGCAGTGTGCATATAAACAATAAAGTAAACAAAAAGTTAATAAAAATAAAAAGTTATTAAACGCCTTGTGGTCCATTTTATAGTGTCATACTGCAAACAAAAACAAAGCACACACTGTGGTGAGAATTGAGTGGTAAAATAGTGACTGCAGCATAAAGATAACATCCCTAAATTTCACCCACTCAGTTATATAAAAATGAGAATAAAATCAGCAGCATGACTGTAACGTTACATGGCTATTATGTCTGCATAAGCATCGTGGTAATTCACTTATAAACACAACAATTAATGTGCAACAGATGATTTAACACACTGTGTGAATAATATATGATTAGTAACTATTTAATGATGGGCAAGAAAAACTTATTTCAGAGAGTGAAAGTGTTTGATTTAAATCACATACAAAGTAAAACCCTTGTCATGCATGCTAACCCTGCTGAGAGGAGTGTATGCTGCCCTCACTACAGTCATGAAAAAGCCTGTGGTAGCACGCTGACAGTGATGAGCCGGGTAACACCGGCCACGCCGCTTCTTCCTACTTAAGGATGCCCACAGCCTCCTCGCAGATATTTACCTCGGCTAATGTCTCGGTGTAGGTTAACGTTAGTTGTCGCTGTGCCACCTCCGACAGGGCTAACGATCTCCACTTCCACCGGCCCTCAGCTCTGTGTGTCGGTGAGCTGCGTCTGCTGCCAGCGGTGCACACAGATACTCATCCGCGCTGCATCTTCTGTCCACACACACACACGTCTGAAGCGCGCGGTCAAATGTAAAAGATGATGTTCGCGAACCTCTTCCAGAGAGAAGTTATTTTTGGTCCAGCTTTTGTCCCTTTCTTCTCCTATGGAGGAAAAAATGGCGCTCAAGTTCAGGATCTGACGTAGTCGTCCTCATTTGCATACTGCACACACTGACCAATGGGAGGCGTCCCAGCATAAAAACTGAATAACTTTTTATTCTGTCACCAACACGGTCAGCCATTGTCCCACACAGTCCATGTGATGCATTTCACCCCCCTGTTTTTGAATTTCATGTCACAACTCACTTGTTAATTGGACTTTTCCATTCTACAACACATAGCTAGGTCGGGGGGCGTGGCTACTGCGACCCCCACTGGCAGTCACGTGGTACATGGATGAGGCTAACCAATGGGCTGTCGTGAAAATGAGCTAAATGGGTGGGACTTTGTCGTGTGACGTCATATCATGCTACTTTTTTTAGCCAATTACAGCGAACCACCATTTTGATAGGGGAATGAGTGAAATTAATGGGTTGGATGTGTTTTGGCTAGCATAGCATCAAGTTTTAGCACTTTTTCATATGTTTAACGATTACATAAAAACAAAATGGCTAGCTGCCACCGTATGCCAATTTACAGCGAAACTTAATTTTATTTTATTAATTTTATTCTTATAGTTAGTCATAGCTACTTCCAAGACTCAAGTCTTGTAAAAGTTAACAAATTTATGTTCGACCACCTACCAACTTACAAACAGGTTAGCGCTTGTGCGAGTAAAGCGAAACCCGAGTTCGGATTACGGCCTACCAATTAGCCTTTATGAACAGAGGTCACTTTGTTTGGCGACCTCATCAACGATTCATTAAAGCAATGATGCTAAAGCTACTTCGTGTTGGACTCATGACCTAACATTTCTTGTGTTGTCAATCTACCACCTGTGATTACAGAATCATTGTAGTCGCCATTTCACAATACGAGCCCAGATGTGAACGCAATCTGTTATTCAGATCAATACTGTTGATAGCTGCTACAATGCACCCATGTCTGACATCGGTCAAATCCTCACTTGACCACTGGAAATGTCTCTCGAAGTTCTGCTGCATGAATCAGTTTGGAGTTTAAGTGATGTAACGACCTAATTAAAAATTTGACTAACAAGGTCACATCTACCATTGTGCCCTCTTGACAGACATTACAGTTAATTTCCTGGGCAAACAGAGGAGCAACATGAGAGGGTAAAGTGTCAACATTCATAATGGCTCCATGCTGCAGCTGATCACTGTCTGCAACACTTCCCGATAAAGGACAACTCGGTTAGATGACATGATATCTAAACCCAAAGTAGAGAGGAAAGAAAGGGAAAGGAGATTTCTCACTGTCAGATTCCCTGTTGTCAGATCAGTTCAAGGTTATATCACCAATCACAACCAGCCACTTAAGAGTTCATTCATACTTGCTCAGTCACTCATTCAAAAAGCTGTGAATCAAGTTCCTCCTCAAGTAATATCAAATCAATCATCTGTGTTGTAGCCATGTAATTGTAAAGTCTATTCATCTTAATGCTGCTCTGCATTGTCGTGTGTGCAGGAGCATGCACTCCTAGGCAGACTACTAAGTTGTTTGCTTTTTTATTACCATCACCCCCACCACTATCAAATGCGCAATAATTCTGTGTACACTCCAAGCGTGCTGTTTTACCATGGTGACATGCAGCGAGTGGCAAAGTATGTGAACTCTCCACCTTTCTATTAATCTTATTTCTAATCTAATTAAGATGCAGCCATCACCTCTAATAAACACGCTAACATGAGACACTTAATTGAAGGTATAATGGCTCCTCTTGGAGCAATATTTGAGCTGGCATCCTCTCTCACATGCAACACCGAGGAAATGTTTCAGCGGCTGCTAATTAATTTTGAAGCAGAGGAAATCAATGGCTTCACATTACACGTATATAAATTAATCTGCCTTGATATTTTACTAGTGTTGAGGCTCAAAGTAAGCAATGGATAAAGCAATATATGATGTTCATTATTTATAAATATATTAGCACTACACCATGCTGTGTAAACAAGCACAGATCTTACTGGAAGCTACACACGCAGGTGAGAGCAGAGTGTCATGTTCAGGGACAGACATGTACGGAAATTTCCATGCAGCTATGGAAATTACCGAAGTTTCCCTTTTCCTCTCTAGCCAGCCGATCACCCTGACAACCTCGTCTCAATTTCCATCTCTAAATGTATTTCATTACTGAATATAAAGACGGCTGGTGAGTTTGAAACAGGCGAGATAACCACATTTATAAATAGATGCTGCAAGATATGGTAGCAGGAGATGGAGAGGCTTACATTTATCATTGATTTCACTGATTAAACACTTATTTCTGGTAGATGATAATGCTGTAGTGCCTTGCTAAACTGATCTACATATTTAATTCTCATGGGAGAACACATAATATCATGAAAATACTCTACCAGTGTGCCGTTAGGATGAATCAGCCATACAGGAGGTCTAATTACTTGCTGCAAAAACAGCCCTAAATCTGGATTATATTGTCTCTAGGAACTTTAACTACTGTTCAGTCAGAATAAACACCAGATCCATTAAGATCAGAAACATATGGATTTAAATTACGTTGGCCAACAGTGAAGATTTTATCCAGAACATGTGTGGGAATCAACTGCTCCACCCCTGACACCAAAGATCACACGTACACAAGACAAATGATTTAAATCAGAAATGTATTAAATTAATCACTTTCATTACTTTAACAAGCACAATTTACAGTCAAAAACAGGCTATGGTCCATTAGTGCCTTAGACAAGCAATTAATAATACATTAGTCATTTGTATCACACAAGGGCAGGATTCTTTAAAAACTGCAGTTGAGTCAGATCACCTTTAATATTATTAGACATGAGACATTTAGCTGTACAAGAGACTGTGCATTATGTCCCTCTTAACTTTAGAGAGGCATGAGGAAAAGTCTGGCTTGTTATCTGTGTTGCGCAGCCTCCGAGGGGTCTGTGCACAACTAGCATGTCTCTTCTGTGAGAGATAAAGACATGCAAGTCCACATACAAATAATTTATGTTTGAGCAGTATTCAGAAACAACTTCTTTGCTGGTTTTTCAGATCCTGGGAGAACAAGGGCCGAGTCCCTTGGCAAGAGACACCAATATGATGATCTGAAAAATCAGGGCTGTGTTGTGAAATGTCACAGTACATGTTTAACCTACAAAAGATTTTGTGCATTTTTAAACCAGATTAACCCCCTTTCTATTAGAGGCAAGGAGTGCATTCGGGTGTATGCAGCTTCTCTGTATTCAAGCTGTAGCTCAGCATAGAGAGAATCTCCCACAGCAATTCCTTCATGCCTTTCGAGTAAAGGGAAACCACTGAGGTCACAAATGGCAATCACAGCACACTTAATCCATGTAGCGTTAAAAAAACACACCAATATCTTATCAGGAAAACACTGTTAGATGGGCCACAGCATAATACATGGGCAAAACACACGTAAAGATGGAGCTTTAAATTTGCCCCAGTGATATCTGAATCCAATAAATAAAAATGCATTGAGGTGAGCTGCAATAAAGAAATAGGTTACATCATTGTCATAATTTCATTTAGACTATGCAAAGTGAGGGGTCTGACGTACAGAATCCACACGAGGCATTGATTCTTTTAAACACTTCAAAAATCATCTACAGACAAAATGTATTGGTGTTGAACAGACACAGGATTTACACGACTGTCAACAGGTAATCAATAGAGAACATGATTTAAATCAATTGTACATTTTGTAAACTGGATTTGATTTAGGAAACAAACCACCCCAAACACGTTGGGGGGTCCCATCTCCAAAGAGTCGTCCATTTTGTTGCATATTGTCATTTGAGTTGGAGTTCTTTTAGCTGACAAGATTTGGAGTCCATCGGAGGGAGGAGGGAGGATGAAAACAATCACCTTCCAGATTAAATTTTAGACAATTGAGGTATCGAACAACCAATTACTTGAGAGGTACAAAATTCAAATTCCTGTAAGAAATAATAGGACACTGCATTTTCCAAGGTGGCTGGAATGTTGACCACATTTAGCCCCTTGTCCCAAATACCTCGCTGGCCTCTCTTCTCACATGGTGAAAGCAGAGGCTAAGGAGGATCTGTGCAATATAATACAGGACAGGGGCAGAGGGGAGTTATGCACTGTACTGGACCATGGAGAAATTCTTCATGGCACTGTCCAGCGCCACACCAGCCTCCTGCATTTCGTACCTGTGGGCAACACCAAGCATCAGAATCAGTTCTCTGTAAAATACACCATACTCTTACTACATCTGTATAAGTGGTGAGCCTTCACATGCCAATCACTCCATACTCACCAGTCACAGGTGGAGACAGTGTAGTAGACAGGCAGCGGGGGGGAGCTGGAGAGGCAGCTGAACTCCTCCAGGCCACACACTCCCATGTTGGGGAAGCAAAGCCAGTCTCCCACACTGAGCTCAGGCAGCAGGCAGCGCTCCACCACCTGGTCCAGCTGGTCCAGTGACGGGCCCCACAGGCTGCTGGGATACACTCCCTTCTCAGTGCACAGCGCATGCTGGAGAGAGGAAACAGTGTCATCGTAACAGGCAACAATCACAAATGTCAGATTGTTCTTTTGAGCAAGGCCCTGTCACATCTCTACTGCACCTGTAAAACTATACCCTACATGTAAAATAGGAGAAAAGCAATATCTTTATGATGACATCCGCAACTGAAGAGATGACTTGTCGTAAAGCAACCAATAAAATAACCGATGCAACAGCATTTCCGAACTGGACGAATATATCGGCTATCAGCATTTGTCTGACTACATCACTGGTTGGTATTTTTGGCAAATATTGACATTTCAATTTGCTAATTTATTGGTCTGCTCCGAAGAACAACTCTAAAATGATGAGTGGAGATAGGTGTGGCTATGCAAGTCCACTCAGTGACAGACTCATTCTGTGAGCTAACCCAAAAGCACAAAGAGGCCTGCAATGGCAGAGAGACAATGTAGAAAAAGTGTGTGCAGAACGAGCATATTTTCACATCTAACTTCATGAATTCAGGGAATTTCGACCACACCAGAGTTGGCAACTGTTGGAACAATGGAAAGACTAACAAAGATGATTTGGGTGAGCTTTATTCTGTTTCTGTTGAGTCTGAATGAAGTGTGTTTTTAAGATGAGGTTAGATAAATCTTAGTTTAGTCAGAGAGAGAAACGTCAGAAGCTGTAGGGTTTTATTTTCTATTTAATAAGAACACAATGTGTGACGATATTCCCAGACTATGACTGTTAGCTTGTTAGCATCAGGGGGGTGGGCTGTATAAAATGAATTATAACTGCCCTGAGGCAACACAACACAATTTCTACATCACAAGCCATCTTGATATTAGTTTATTACAGCTCCAGTTTAATGTTGTGTAGTTTGAGTCACTTTGAGTTACAATTGGTGTCCTGATCTGGTAGGGAGTACAGTTAGGTAAATGTTTGTTTCACCATTAACCTTTTTGACTACTGTCACCCCACAAGATAACGTTGTATGTTTAAATACCTCAGCTTTATATGAAAACCTGTAGGGACTATAT